ACTGGGTGATGTGCTTGAAGATAGGTCTTTGGAACGTCTTCTACCCCATGCTAGTAAAATAGTACATCACCTAGAACCATCTATTTTGGAAAGAACAACTACTTATTGGCAGGCACTTACAAAAGTTGTAGGGGATATCGATATGCAAAGTTTTACCTTTTATTTGGATGAATATATTGATAAAGTGCCAGTTGTTGCTTTATAGTGTTTTCTATTTATTTTAAGTATTTTCATGCGGCAGATTTGAGAAAATTCAGAGATGAGTTCTAAGCTAAAATGAGGCTTGCGACAGAAAGCCATCTGGAGGGAGGCTCCCCCTGGGCCCACATGCCCGAGGGCTTGGGCGCATGGCTTAGGCACGTGGGGCCCACACATGTCTCCGCTCCTTGGTCTTCTTCGTTTGCTTTATATGTCGTTGAAAACTCTAGATAAATTTATGGTGTATTTTTCTACCGATGTCCCTTTGTGTTTCGAGACAATCCAATCTCAAGCCCTATTCCGCTACTCTGCTGGAGGAGGAAATCAACACCTTCATCATCTTGACCGACCCTTGATGCTCTCATGATGATGTGCGAGGAATCCACCTCTGGAGTATGGGTTTGTAGCATTAGTTGTGTAGAATCTTCTCTCCCCTTGGGGATACATGACGGGTTTTCTTGTCTCCAGACAGAGTATTAGCTATAGATATTTGCAGACGGATCTCGACCTATGCATACATTGACAAATTGTCTATATGAGTATATAACATCGCATCGTATGTTATGATTTGCCATATTTGTATTAAAATCATTCACCGCACATACATATTGACGGTGCAGCAGATTTCCGTCCGTACTCTCCCTCGGAGGCAAAAACAAAATTACCCTAGTATAAAAGATCCTTTAATTCAGAGAAGCTCTAGCCTTTTGGACGGATGTCATCAAGTATATGAAGCCTGTTTACAAGGGGCTCACAGTTCGACACGTGGCTTTCTTCCTTGCCTACCAAGATGCATCGCGGACCAATCATTCGTTGGGTCACGGTTGGAAGGAGGCCGCGTAGCGTTCATCTTGTGATGTCGGCGTCGCGCCACAAATAAGGCAGGTAGGCCGGTAGGCAGGGCGCTCCTTCGGCTAGCAGGCAGCTGGTCCCTGCTCCGCCCGTGCAATGGTTCCTTTTTTTTGTTAGAGAAGCCGTTCGTTCCCGGGTCGCTGGCCGTGTTAAATAGGCTGTGGCTGTCCTCCCTCCCCCGTCACTCTGGCCGAGGTGTGCTTCGCGGTGAAGCCGTCCATGTCCCCGTGGAATGGAACGGCCGTACAGCAACGCCAGGGCAAGCCCGACCCCGTCCCCGTCCCCTCCGTCAGGTGAGGTCGATCGATGGCCGATTCGCCGCGGCGCCAGGGCCGAGACGGCCACACGCGGCGCCCCCTTGGCCGTTCATGCGACGTTGGCTCCGCCATCCCGAATCGTGGTTCTGTCGCGCGCGCGGCCTCTACCCCTTGCCGCCGGCGGTTGGGCAGCCGGAGACCGCGTTCCGTTCGTCCTACGCACAGCCAGCGCGCGCATCGTGGTCACAAACCCAGGATCCGGGGCCGCCTCTACCGCGGCTCCAGTCCGCGCCAAGCTCGCTAGCTACCCGGAGACGCCTGCATTCTGGTCGTGCCTCCTAGTGCTGTGTATGTTTGATGACATGGAACATGTGTTTCCTATCTTTTCCTTGCGAAGAGACATGCAATATGCTTGGTGTCATGTCCGTCATCTCATAGTACAGGATTCCGGGACCAATCCTAAGATGTACGGCCATATGTAGGTAGGGGCGAGGCTGATTTGCCGGCTTTCGTCCCGCTTTTATATATAAAGCAAAGACCAACAACAACATGGTGCAAACACACACCATCACAACACACACACCTAAGGCAATATACATAGGCGTTGAGCGCAGCAACACTACCCCAACCACTACAATAGCAGCCGGGTCCTCGAACGTGAACATGTCACCATGGAGAGATGCAGCCGCATATGACGAACCGCGGGCTCCAAAGCGGCGCCTTCAGAAAGGATACGACACCGGAGCGCCGCCACCGCCCGACCCGAGGGTCAGAGTTTCCCTAGAGCAACACGATGGGCAATGATGGTCGCGACGACGCCTTCAAGAAGGGAACGAGCTTCGCCGCCGCCGGTCCATCCGTAGATAGAACAGGTTTTCACCCCGGCCAATACTCACCGCCACCAAACGCCACACCGCGGCGGACATACCGCCCACACGGCCATGGTCACCAGGAAGCACCAAGCCACGGGCTTTGCCCAAGAGCACCGCGACACCACCACCAGGGCCGGCGCCCTGGCATCCAAGACCTCGACGCCACCTCACCCGCCACCCACCGCTACCCCAGCCAAATAGACAAGTGGAAAGGTCCCGCCTTTAGCACCCCTGAGCTGCCCCCAGCGCCGAGACCTAATGGGCCGGCCACAACTGGCCTCCATCGGCCCGTCCTGCTACCGGGCGCGAGACGAGCTCGGTCCTATAGCCGGGCGCGAGACGAGTCCGGTCCTGCTGCCGGGCGCGAGATGAGCTCGGTCCTGCTGCCGGGTGTGAGACGAGCGATGGACCACGACTGGGAGAGGGCTAACTCTTCGATCAAGGTAGCTCCGAAACGACGAGGAGAGGAATCAAAGGTCGACTAGGGCGCTCACCGACCGGTCGACGCCGAAGAAGTCCAGCCACCGCCGTGAAACAACCCAGACCATTGCCATGAGCCACCACCACGCCGTGGCAGCCCACATCCACGCCGGGACCCCGAGGGACAGCCCCGAGCCGCCCGCCGGCGGCCATGGACCAGATTCAAGCTGATCTGACCGGCAACACCGCCTCCTGCTACAGCTGCGATGCACCACCGAGGTCCATGACCATAGCCATGACCCTATCAGGCCGCAGCCCGCCCCAGGCCGGGCCGCACCCGCTACCCGCCACACCGATGAAAGCTC